ATTCAAGAACCAAGTGTGAATAAAGGATAAAACAGACTGAAGTTGAGACTATTCAGGGAAGGGAGAGGAAGAAGAGCAAAGTGGAAAGAGTCACAAAAGACACCTGTGGGCTGGTGTGGTTACACACACCTGAAGCAGGTGAGCCTGCGCCTCCAAATCACACAGCATTGTAAATCAATGTTACCTCCATTAAAAAACAAACAAATGGGCCCTCCCTGGTGATGCACAGGATTAAAGCACAGCACCATGACACTAGAAGCATCCATTTCATGAGTTCAATCCCCCACCAAAGAGGTGACCCACAGGCGTGGCAGACCTCTCCTGACCCACCCGCTGCTCCCCTCAGCAGTGTACTTGGTCAGTCGGCCTGTTCTGCTCCACACTCTGTCTCTGGTGAATCCTCTCACCCCTGCACCTCTGGCCTGTACCCAAGTTCTGTGTGCATAAATAAATAAATCTTTAAAAACAAACAAACATGAACTCTCCTTATTGAGGTTATTTTTTTAAAAAAAATCTATTTAGAGGTTTTGAAACTCTGTTTGTAATAAAGGTTAGATGACCACCAGTTTATAAACCAAGGTAATGGCCATTCGTCCTGAACAATCATATATACAACATTCAATGTATGAGGGAATTTAATTCAATTAACAAGTAAAAAAGGGGAGTAAAAACGACTGTTAACAGTATTTTCCCCAAAGATACACTGAAAGAACAATAAAATGCTAAAAGCATAAAGTATTGCAAGTGAAATAAGAGTAGCATAAAGAGAACTAGAAATGAAATTATACATCAATATCAGAAACAATATCCTTACTCTAGACATAAGAAAACAGGATAGAGTAGATAAACATGACTGTAAATAAAAAGCTGTTTTATGTAGTAATATATAAACAGAGTCATTTGGGAAACTGGATGCTAGGTATGTTAAAAATGAAATGAGTGAATGAAAAACAGACTTACTTAAAGTCTGTTTTAAAACATCACAGTAGATTCATTTCAATTTCCAAACTATTTTCAGCTGAATAATTCGTCAACTGAGTAAATTTAATGGAAATTAATCATTTATCCTGAAGCACAAACAGTATAATAGTGTGTGTGTGTGTGTGTGTGTGTGTGAGAGAGAGAGAGAGAGAGAGAGAGAGAGAGAGAGAGAGATTGAGATTTATGTAACCACTAGAAATCCCCAAGGTTACTCTATGCAACAAAATGGATTTTAAATTGAATGTCAATTTCCAAGGCACTGGCTTCTTAAATAATTTCTGTGTAGAGGCAATATAAGCAGTAACTATCACTTTAAAAGGGAGGAGCAAATTCTTTGGATCATGTGGTAATACTGGTATAGAGGGAAATTAAAAAGAACCTCTCTTTTCCTTTCAGCAGTTTAGAAATAACTCTAAACCTTCCTAATGCAAGGCTATATCCCCATCTCAAAAAAAAAAACAAAAAACAAATAAAACTGAAGAATGTAAGTATATTCTTTATAATCACATGTATGGAAATACATTTGTCTATCTAGACTAAAGCAAATGAAACCACAACACAAAATATCCATCATCAATGGAGGCATCTTAACACCTTTCAAATTTGTCTCTGATCTGTCATGTCTCCCTACACTCTATTTTATGTCTTAGCACCCAAGGTAAGCTCTAGCTTAATGGTTATCCCCACACACCTTTGGTATCCTCCCAATAAGCAGACAGATTTAATGCCCTCCCCCAGTACAGAGCGGATGGCCGTCCAATGAGCTCTAATACCTTTACTTCTCTCCATTATGGCACTTACCATACATATAACTTCTGGTTTGTTTATTTCTCTCACTGCAAGTATTGAGAACACACTGCATTTTACTTGGTTTTGAATCCTCATCACCTAAAATAATATCTAAGCCATAACAAGACACTCAGAAAACTAATGAGTTGAAACAAAATCAAATAGAACTATTTACATCTGTGTTTTTAGAGCCTAAAAGAATGAAACAAGTATGACAGACAAGGAGGAAAATACATTGACCACAATACATTGACCACAATGATGCCAACAACCTAACAATGTCTTCAACAATAATGAACAAAGCCAAAGTCTACATGCTGATTTTCTAATACAAATCTTAAAACTCAGTTTCATTTTCATGAAACAAAGACAGTGTCGAGAATTCAATTATAACTGCTAGTTTAAAACTAATTATTAATATATATCATTAAAGATTTTGGTAGAACACTGTCTTTATTATCAGCTATGTGACATGGTTTAAACAAAAAAAGAACTGCTTTAGAAAAACCTGCCAAACATAATCAACATAAATGTGCTGTGTTATGCTACAATATTAACAGTTTCCAACTGTTTTCCAAGAATCTGAAGCAGTAATGTGAATTTCTTTCAATAAGGCTATAGTTTAATTTTTTTCAGGGAAATATTTTTAATAGGATTACTGACCCTTCTAGCACTCTTGGAAAGAAAATGAATCCCATAAGCATTCTGGCATATAACTATTATAAAAATAAATAGAACAGTCAATCAGTGGAAACTGTAATGGGTTTGAGACACTAAGTTTACAAAGAAATGTACAGAAGTATTTCTCTTTAACAGAGAAATGATTCCACTACATATCAGCAAAATAATTAAACATACTAAGACAAATGAAGGTTTGGAAAGAAGGGATAACTCTGAAGAAGTAGCTTTCCTATGTCTTTAAAAGAGAACTAACTAACCACACTCACTTGGATCAACTCCACTAGCTTCCACACAACTATTAAGTCCGTAAGTCCTGTTTGGTTTTCAGTAGGTATTTAAATATTTGCAGTGGGAGGGAGTAGGATGCTTACTGATTTAAGGCAGATTTTTGCACTCACAACTCTGTGCTTTAAAAGGAATTTTTTTCAGGTCATTGGTTTATAATGTGAACTGGCACCTAGGGATATTTTGAAAGGAAAAAACCTAGTCTACTTGGAGATGCAACTTATGTGACATGTGTCATCATTTATTTCAGCTCAATTTGGGGACCAAACTGAACTCAAAATGAAGCCACCACATCTGCAACATTTTTTCTCAGCATGCAATGATCTTACAGAAATCTGAAAATAAAATAGACCTCTTATCCCAAGAACAAAAACATTGTAACCTTCTGTAAAATATCGATATCCTTAGAAGTTCATACTGATTTCAGAGTACAGAAAGTCTTCCTTACAAATAATTCCTAATAATTTGGATTATCAAAATGCCACTAGCATGCCAAAATGCATTATTTCTGTGGATTTTACCCTTGACTTCATCCCACCCCTACCAGTATACCACTATGTATGGCTCCAGAAATCAGAAACTAAATATTTAGGCTCAGAGAAAGCAAGCATCTTCCAAGTTAATAAATAAAAAGTGACTTGGCCATAATCAAGACTGATTTGGGCCTCCCTGGTGGTCTAGGGGTTAGGACTCAGTGTTATTATCACTGTTGCCGCCTGAGTTCAAACCCCGGCCAGGAAGCTAACTCACATCTGGCCCAGCAACTTTTCCTGGCTCATCCACTGCTCCTCCCAGCAGTGTATTTCAGTAAAGTCCACCTGTTCTACTCCCTATTTTGTCTCTGAATTCTCTCACCCCAGTTCCTCTAGCCTACACCCCAATTCTTCTATACAAAATTAAGTTTTTAAAAATTTTCAAAAATCCAGACTAATCTGACCCACACTTTGTGTCAAAATAGATCTCTCATGACACCAAAGTTAACTGATACTTCCTAAAGTCTCCATTTCCCGTAAGTGCAAAAAAATCATGTAGCAAATTTTTAAGTATAAATAAAACAGCAATTTTCCAACTTTCTTGCAAGATAAAACAGGTTAGAATCAACTCTCCCGTTTTTTAATGTAACTGCCCTTCTTTTCTACTGATTAGGAACACATGAGTCATGACTTAGCACCATGGAAATGGCTATCTTAACCTGTTCTCAACCTCTGGTACACACTAGAATCACTACAGGAACTTTCACAAAATACTGGTGATTCATAGGTCCCAGCTAAGATTTAAAATGGGCCCTGGTATCAATATAATTTAAAAGCTACTCAGGTGAGTCCAACATGTAGATAGGGGGAGAACCAATGATCCTACAAATATGGGTCAATGGTCCAGAAAGGACCTGGGTTGAGAGCAAGCCAATGGCAACCTGGACCTGCCACCAAGATAATAGAACCAGACACCTAGAGGAGCCACGTGAGAGCTGGCAGTGTCCTTACACATTTTAGATTCTTCCAGCATCAGAAGATGTGACAAACCAGGGAGCTTAGCGTCCTAATCAAGCTAAGGCTGAGGAAAATAAGAGATCTCAATCAGGAAACACACACACACACAAATCAAGCTTTTACTACTGACTCTATTTTTAAAAAAAAATAACAATAACCTATGCAAAGCCAACAAAACACATAATGAAACTGTCCTTTAAGCTTCAATTGATCGCTTCTGGTGTAAAGGGTTACTTTCATTCTACAGAAGCCAGAGCAGCAGCCGCTGGATCACAGCAACAAAAATAACACCTGGTGTTCATTAAGTACTTACATGTGAGCCACTATGCTGAGAGTTTTGCACAGATTATCTCAATTACCCTCCATCAATCTTTGAGACACTATTATTATTTCCCCTTTACTCAGTAACTACCTCCCAAGGTCACAAAGCCAGATATGGTAAAACACCATGTCTGTACTCTGTACTCTGTTCTGTTTCTTAGTTTTAAATATGCTTTTAACAACCTCCACTCTTGGCACTTGTGTTTCTTCAAAAACAAAATGAAGGGATTATGCTAAACTAAATTATCTCTCAGGTAGGTCCTTCTTAGTTCTCAGATTCTTTGACTCCAAACTACAACTCTTAGCTGTATCAAAATATTGGTATTCCCATACCAACACTGATCAAAGGAGTGGAATGAATGTTCATAAAAGAGTCTAATCCAAAAAGACAGCAAGGACATGGAATTAAAATGTGGTTACCTCTGCTGCTATAGAAGGCTTACTTCTCCTTACCTTTTGAGAGATAAGTAAATGTGCTCAGAAATTCTTCATATGTTTGCTCATGACAATTAACAAACTTATCCAAGACTTCTTCAATTAGTCGATCTTTGTCCATGATCTCCAAGCCTACTATTTTAGCCGGCATTCCTGTTCATGAAGCTGCATTATCTGTGAGACAAATAAAATCATGAACTGCACAGAGTTGTGTGAAACCAGTGTCTCTAAAATTACTCGGGGGGGTGGGAGGGGTCAACTAAAAGAATTCTGTCTCCAAAAGGATAGATTAAGAAGTTACTAGAGCAATAAATTCTAGTTCAAGAGACAAGGGTTTTCAGGGGAGGGATGAATACAAGAGAATATAGTGATGGGTCATGGGTGATATGGCAGCAGGAAAACCACAGAACTACAATGATGGAAGAAAAACAATGAATTAATTAATTTTAAAAAAGAGAGACCAGAGTTTTAACAGCAAGTCATTGCTGTTGAATTTGTTAATTATCACAATCTTAGTTTTGTTTCAATTTCCTCCATTTTCAGTTCCTCAACTTACTGGACTGTCATCACAAACTTAACTAATTTTGTGTCAGAAAAGATGCCGGAAAGGTTCAACTTTGTATCTTTAGTACCTATACTTTTAGTGAGGTAATTAACAGTCCACCACACTATAGGTGACTCAGAAGTATAGGTGCACACCTCTTCAGACGTATGTTATCACATCACACACACCACCAAAACACCCACAGTTCTTCATCATAGTCCGGTGCGCTTTCTCCCCCTTTGTTTGCCACTCTCCCCCTGATACTCTCAGTTCAGTAGTGAGACTTCACTTCAGTTCAATGGGATAGTATCCTTTCAAACGTATGAACAATACTTTTAAGATATTGTCCTTTCTCAATCATCTCAATTTACTAAAACTTTTTTGGTTTTATTTTTTTATAAACCATGGTATATAACATTATGTAAGTCAGGTGTGCATCACTGAAAGTCAGCATGTGTATATATTCCACATGAGGTTCAACACTAAAAACCCAAACAAATTTCTTTTTCAAAAGTCTGCCCAGAACTCAGTTTCTCCCCAAAGGCTTTTAATCTTCCAAGCACCATCACCACAGGAAGAGCTAATCATAAATTCTCCTATCACATCATATTGGAAATGGTTGTGTGTACACCCCTGTGTCCTCCATTAGATCCGCAGTCAGGAGAGGCAGGATCCATGTTTTCATCTTTGTATCCCAAATGTTTAATAGATCAGGAGATAGCACAGAGCTGGCAGTCAATCAGTGTCAAGCTAAAACTATCCTTTTGTGCAAATATTGCCAGAGGCTGGCAAAACACCCACTAAACCTGCCCAGTTACTTCACCTGTGCTTTAGATGGCACAATTCCAAGTGCTTTTCATCTTTCTGATGGATCTAGCTGGGAAAAGTTTCACACTGGCCTGCATCCTTTTAACATATGCCATCCAGAAGTAAAGATGAGACTCTAGATGTGGTCTGGATACAGTGAAGTTTGATTGTCACATCCTAAGTAGTGCACTCCCGCAACCTAGTGAAGGTTACATACACATAGCTGGGGACCCATTCACACTGTTAGTGCATTTAACACACTGCTAACTAAATACCTGTCAGCTAAGACACAGTGCCTCAATCCTCACACAGTTTGAACTTTGTTAAATCCCATTCATTTTGATGAAATATTCTTATATAACTTTGAGTAAATTGAATATCTACAAAAGAAGAATAGTTACTACATAAGCAGCCAGAATAACGCTTGGGAGGTAATGAAAAGACAGGGCTTGCCAATACTTTATAGCAGAAACAGAAAACATGAAGCACTTTCTAGTTTCCCGAAACAAAATAAAAATCTTGTTAACTTTATTTGGGATTTACCCAAAATCTCTGGAAAAATATGTTTCAAATGATGATGCCCTGCCTTGATTCTTTGGTAGCAAGACCTGACCTGAATTAACTATGTATGACTGACTTTCATTTATTCTATTTAAAGAGAGTATTCATGTTTCCCTAAAGAAATACCAATGGACTTGCTTTTGAGGGTCTTTCTCAGACCCAACTGGGGATTTGTGTAACGTGGCATTTGCACTGATTACTTTTCCAAGTTCCAAAAAAGTCTAACTCCTGAAACATATCTGGCCCCAAAAGTTTTTGTTTTTTTTTTTAAAGATTTATTTATTTATTCATACAGAACTTGGGTACAGGCCAGAGATGCGGAGGGTGAGAGGATTCACCAGAGACAGAGTGGGGAGCAGAACAGGCAGATCGACTAAGTACACTGCTGAGGGGAGCAGCGGGAGGGTCAGGAGAGATCTGCCACGCCATGTGGTCACCTCCGGGGCAGGTGGGGATTGAACTCATGCGGAAGTGGCTTTGACTTCTTAGTGCTGTGCTTTAACCCGCTGCGCCACCAGGGAGGGCCCCCAAAAGTTTTTAATAAGAAATAATGAAGCACATGTGCCTCACAGGGTCACTCTGAGGATAAATGAGCATAAAAGGCACCTCAAGAAATGTTGATGACAGCTGATATCCTATCTTTTGTTCACAGACAGAACTGTTTTGACTGTGACCCTGTGACTTTGAAGGCACTGATGTTACCTAAAGATAAACCAAGATAATTCCTCATTATTACAATTCAAGGTAAAACCTGGTGTTGTAAAAAACCAAGTGAAAATATAAAGTGTGGTTATGTACCAAATCAAAATGAAAGGAACTATTTATTTCAAGTTACTTGTACCTGAAAATTAGATATCAGAAAACTAATCAGTTATGGTTTAGGCAAATTTACTGTAACATTACCAAGCTTCTATAATCCAACATTTAATAAAGTATGCTTACATTTGCTAGGTAATAAATAATGATAAACATACTCAAAGATTGCTATCTCAGTATGACAATGTACTTAATTACAAGAAATCAGTGTCCATCTGCTTTTCCAGAATTAGACGACAGCAAAATTCCAACACTATAACAATCTCATCCTCAAACCATCTTGGGTAATCTTTTTCAGTGAGTAAACAGAAGCAGTCAAGCTGCATTTTAAATTGCTGAAAAATGCCTCCTAGAAACTTTCAGTGATAGTAGAAATTCCTTTAAACTTCCTTTCCAATTCTTAAATTGGCATATGTTGAGTATTTAGCCTTAACACATCTAGTTTTACTACAGGCAAATAATTAACAGGCTATGCACAGCACAAATTCAAAACCCTTGAAGGTCTTTAATTTTATTCATGTGGTTATCACAATGCTCAAGAGGTTATATTTTTATTGAATTTTTTTAAGACTTTTGGAAAATCCAGTTTTGCAAACTGTCATTACTTGAGGAGTTTAACAAATGCCCACCTTCAAATTTAGAACTTACTTTATAAAAATACAAATAATCCAATGTTAAAAGTCTCCAGGGACTGACAGAGCAGAAAATCACTTAGCAGACAGTCAAGTGGTTTATGCAAATCCTAGTGGTTTTCTAGAAGGAAGCAATGCTTTTTCAGTTACCATTCATGTACTTTTGTGCCTTAATCATGAAGTATTTTTCTAAAAGGAAAAAAGGGAGGGAGAGGGAGAGAGTTCTTGCCTGATCAACAGAATTCTTTGTTTTGGTTTGAAGTTTTAAGGCTTAAAGCTCCACATGAAAGACACAAAATATGTTGTGATGATAAGTAAATGTGTATATAGGCTGGAGGAAACACTTCTAGGATCATAGCCTCCCAAAGGAAACACATGTCAGGCTCTGCTTAGAACTGCTAAGAGCCCAGGTTCGGTTAGCAACATGATTGTCTTCTTACCAAGTTAGCGAGAGATAGCCCAAGAATCCATTAGCACTATCAGTCCTTTTCCACATTCAAGTAATGAAGCTACCAACTACCAAAGCCAGTTAGTGTCACAGGTTCTCATCAGGACGTTATTATGAAATGTTATAAGAAATTATCGCCAATGTCTAGCACATCTTTGATTTTACCTGTAGATCTCTGCTTAATGCAACTTACCTAAACAAATTACCTGTAAAAGTGCATAATCTGCTTAGTCACATAGAGTTGTATGTCCATCAAAAAATGGTGTTTCTTTTTAAACTGTGAGATTCACCACTAATACCCAAAAATAATAAACAATAATACATTTTTAAAGAGTTATGGTGGTATTATCAGAGCCCACTTTCTCAGACTTTCAAAGTTTTGTTCAACAACAAATTTTGTGCTGTGCTCAAAAGTTAAAAGGGAATATGATCAAAATAATTCACCTTGCCTACAAACATAACCAACAGCCTTGATACCCCACAGGGTAGATTTCCTTTAATATTTTTAAAACATGGACAAAATTTGAGAAGAATGAGTTACACAAGACGTGTAATATATGATAAATGAGATCCATGATGAACTGATCTTTCTTGACTAAATGAGTTATTTAGACATCTATATAATTCCCCCAGCAACAGTACTACAGTGAATATTAAAGGAAGCATTTGTTTAGAGGTAGGAAAGTCTTGGGGATAACAACTGACTACCAAGTTTTAGAAGAGAGAACTGTCAGTCTCCAATCTTAGAAGTATGCATATCTTAGTTACACTTTTTCCATTGACAAAAATTTCACCTGAAGGAAAAGAGACACCCATCCTAAAATCTACACCTAGTCTATAAACAGATCGACCTAAGTGTGCAAGTTCTCCTCAAAAATCTGCATCTACTAAAAAATTCGGGCTCAGGACACATTCTAGAATGAAGATATCACATAGTTGACTTTCAGATAAAATGGCACAGCTCCTTCCCTGAAGAGCACTGTAATCTATAATAAATAGTCTATGCAGGATTCCATTTTTGTAACTGGAATCACTCTGATGACCTATTTCATGATTATTTTCAAATTAATCAATAAGGAATTGAATGAAAGTATTTTCAAATGAAAATGCTATGGGAATAAGAATAATAAAACTATATTAAAGCAAAACCTTGGATTTTATAAAGGAAACAGGAAAAAGACAGAAAAATGTAGAATACAGGACTAAGCAAAGAGTTTTTAGGCTTGACGCCAAAATCCTGATCCACAAGAGTAAAAAATTATAAACCTCATCAAAATTTAAAACCTGTTCTGTGAGCGATCCTGTTCAGAAAATAAAACATTACGGCTGAGAAAAAAAATTATAAATCACATATACAATAAAGGAC